TTTGAGCCCTGTGTCAGGTCTGCGCTGACAGCAAGGAGCCTGCTTGGAATTCTCTCTCCCTGTCTCTCTGCCCCTCTTCCCCGCAAAGATAAAGAAATAATCTTAAAAAAATATTTTTCATATAAAGAAAGAAATAAGCCCTGGGATGTAATTTATAGCATGACAACTATAATTAATACTGTATTGCATATTTGAAAGTTACTAAGAGTACATCTTTAAAGTTCTCATCACAAGAAAACAAAATACTGTAACTATATATGGTGACAAACGTTACTAGACTTACCGTGATCATTTCTTAATACAGTTGACTCCTGAACAACATGGGGATTGGGGTGCCAACCCACTCACCCCCACCTTGTGCTCAGTTGAAAACCCACTTATAACTTGACTCCCCAAAAACTTAACTAACTAGAGAACAAATGTTATTAAAATCATAAGGAAAAGAAAATACAGTTATAGGACTGTACTGTATTAAAAAAAAAATCCGTGTATAAGGGGACCCATGCAGTTCCAACCCATCAAATCATTGTGTTGTACACCTGAAACTAATATAATGTCTGTAATTATACCTCAGTTTAAAACTATCCCTCCAGTAGCTTTATGTATCATGCAGAGTAAATGAGCTAGAGTCCTTGCAGTGGCCTCTCAGTCCTTATATGATTTTATCTTCTTACCTCTCTGGCCTCCTCTCCTCTCCCTGCCCCCTTTGCTTGCTTTGCTCCAGCTTCCCTGCTCATCTCACTATTCCTCAAGCATCCTGGACATGCTCCTGCCGCAAGCCCTTTGCAATTTGCTGTTTCCTATCCCAGAGTAATCCCAGAGTGTCATCGTTCACTGTGTGTCAAATCACCACAACACTTAGTGGCGTAAAATAGTTTTTAAAGGATCAGACATCCTTGTGTCCGTTTCTCAAGAGGGATTTATTTACTGTTGCTTCCCCCAAAAGGAGGTAAAAAGAAATTTGAACTGTATGCATGGTCTTGAGCAAAGTTTCTCAAACTATCTGTAGTAAAGAACCAGGTGTAGAATATTTTTCTTTCCATCTGTTGCTGACCCATCTGTAGTCCTATTGTGCCCACACTTCACGTGACCCATCATGGTAGTCTGACAACATCTCACCATCTTATATTGTTTAAAAGAAGAGTTTACTGCTCACATACTTGGTTGTTGCAGCAGCGTCAATTTGCTGTTTCTAATCCGTACCCGAAGTTTCTGGACTTACTTGGTCATGGATTGGTGACAAACTGGTTGCAGGCTGGCACCAGCACGTGGATCACACTTTAGGATTGCTGGTCCAGAGGAGACCTCTTTCTGGGAAGGTAGCTAAATCATAGATGAGGAGACCTTTCTGGGCACGACATGAAGCGATTACTGGTAAAGGGTCACAGCCTTAGAACAACAGTTTGGGATGAGTTACAAGCTTTTCTGTAAAGAAGAGTTTCACTTCCTAAGAGTGAAAAAACATTTGAAGAGATAAGCTTTTAATTTTTTTTTTAATATTTATTTTTGAGAGAGAGAGAGTACAAGCGGGGTAGGGTAGAGAGAAGGAGACACAGAATCCAAAGCAGGCTCCAAGCTGTCAGCACAGAGCCTGATGTGAGGCTCGAACTCAAGAACGATGAGCCGAAGTCAGAAGCTTAACTGACTGAGACACCCAGGCACCCCTGGGTTTTTTCCTTTACATACAATTTATCCACATATATAGTCAAGAGCACGTAAATGCTCAATTTTTAAGTTGGAAAGGAAAACTGTATAGGTGAAAGTCAAATATACATTCTGAAACACAAAGTCAGTATAGAATGTGGATTTGGAAGGTAGATTATTAGATTTGCCATCCATATTACTAGGTATACATTATGAGATCTGATAATATCTGATATTTTAACTGGGTGATGGTATTTACAAGGACATTATTTCTTAGGTAAAATTTCCGAGAATTTATGAATTGAGTTGAATCTACTACAAACTGTTGAATACAAAATTGTAACTTTTCTAGTTATGTAAATAATGGTCATTAGTAGGTCATGTGGATAGAAATATTCATTAGTGAGTTTTACTATTAGATAGAAATGGATCTTTTGTCCTTACAATAGGAAAATATAATAAATAAGCCCATATAAATTTCTTTTAATTTGGCCCTACGTTTCAGTACCAAATAAATTGCACGATACTTGGTAATTAACATTTGATGGTCTGCAGCTGTGAGGGGGAAGGTGCATATGAGTTACTCAAAACATAGAGTGTGCTTTTCCTCTCTAGCTTCCAACTCCTATCCCCCAAGAATAGTAAGGATTTTCAAAGGCATCAAATCTTTGAACATATGTGGCTTTACGACAAAAATCTATCCCAAAGGGATATTATTTGGGAATACAATTTAAATTTTCCTATGAGCTCTTACTTTAGGAGATCTATTTGGGGATCATTACATAAAAATCGCGAATAATTTGAAAACTTACTTTTTATTTTTTATTCAGTATGGAGATTTAGTCCCAGAGTGGGGCTTTCTGATGCAAAATTGGAATGCTGGTGTAGTCACAACAGCTGTCCCCACACCATGTGGTATCTTCCATTACTTTACTGTGGAGATGAATTTTTGGCCCGGTGTCTCAGTAATATTGGACACACATGGTTTTAAGTGGCAAAGCAGTATGCGTATGCATTCATTTGACTTTCACAGCTACAGTTGGCTCCAGATTAGAACAAGGAGAATACATTCACACCACGGCCACCCTCACGGCTGCTGTAGGAGCTGGGTCACAGTAGGCTCAGTTGCTTCTAAAGACACAACTAACTATTGCCGAGGAATTACACATTCACCAAAGTGCCTTACAGCTGTAGGAGAGAGAATAATGAATTGCTAAAAGGATTCTTTCAAAGATTTCAGATTATGGGCCTAGTTATTATCGACCAGTTTTTTTGTATTAATAATGAAAAAAATCACAGCCATGAAATAACCAGGAAACTAAAGGGAAAGACTGTCCTAGCAGTAGATGATTTTTCAGAATACCAGTCCAAATACTTAAAATTTTCCCTTCCCAGGGAAAAAAAAAAGTGGCACTGTTCTTTTAGACTCATCTTATTAACAAAGAATTAAAATCTGATTGATTTTTAATGCCCATTGTCCATATATGCAGCATATTTGGAAAGCCAATCTACTAAAAATTGAAATTATTTTAAAGAATTACTTTATTAATGTTTCGGCTTTTTAGAAAGAAAAGTATTTCCTTGAAAATCCAGTTATGTCCCTCTAATATCTGAGTATGAATTTTTCCCCTAAATAAAGGGAAAAACAAGCAAGAAGAAAAAAGCTTCAGTGTAAATTTCCAAATTATCTGATAAGGAGCATTAGATTTCTGATATTCATTAAATATCAAAGAAATTCTGACCATACCCTATGTGGGCTACCTTTTTATAGAAGTGAATTTATGCCTGTATCGTACGGATTGTACTGATGAATATGTTTGAGGCTTTCAGCTTTTAGTGGATACAAAATAGAATGATTGATAAAATCCTCCCTACTATTGGCTATTATTTCCTGACTCTTAAGTGGCAGGTTGTATTTATGCCAATTTATCTGCTTCAGGGAACATTCTTGATAGCAGAACAAAGTGAATAAAAGTAGTTTGCTTTGCAAATGAATGCAAATGGGAGAGCCTTTCGGAAAGCCCTTTAACAGGGGCAGTGCGCTTTGATTACGAGTGAAGCTGCCGTTTGGACATGGTGAAAAGAGCACGCTTGAACCATTGATTGGGGGAGACAGTAAAAAGTCAGGAAGGGCCCCGTTAAGCTTGCAGTGAGGCAGGCGGATGTCAGTGCGGTTAGAGCACAGTGGGAGAATGACAGCGAGGATTAGTGTCAGGGAGAAGCTTTGCTGTAGCTGTGGAGATCGTCCCTGGGGTCACTCACCTCTGACTGTTGTTCTGTGCTGACGGTTCTGTAATGCAAACGGCCTGATGTATGCTGTTCATTATCGGAAATGGTGATTAGAAAAGGTATTTGTCTCCAAGGTTCCCTTCTTTCTTGTTTCTTTCTTTTTAATTAAGGAAAATAAGGTGGGCTTCCTCCATTTCTCTGCTGACTCCTAGAGTATTGTTTAATACCAGAGTGGCTGCAGCCTCTGGGAGGGAGTAGTTTCGTGCTAAAATCTCATGTAAAATAACTGTAACGTGGTTATTTGTTACTCAGTGATAGGTTCTTTTGCTTTGCTCAGCTTTAGGTTTGACCAAGTAGTAGTGCTGATAAAATGCAGAGAATATGCTTGCTCTTAGAATTTTTGCTTTTGGAAAAAAGATTTTATAATCTTTTGGTTATTTTGTAACTCGCTTTAACAGATCAACTTTTAGAAGCTATTTACCTTCTCAGAAATGAAGTGTTGCTTTGCTTGGACTTGAAATGGTTTAAGTCTTGGTTGTAGGCATGTCTCATTTTATTTCTGTTCCAAGTTTATTAAAACGCTAGCGTTTGAGAAGCTAAACTTTTTGGAAATGCACGATGTTTAGAATGAAATAGTGTTACACAGAATGAACAAAAACTATCTTTGTCTCAGTTCTGATTCTAAATCAGCACATTTGCTTGTTCACCTTTTCATCTTCGCTTATAAGGTGTTTTGTTTTCTTCAAAGTATAATTTTTCTTAAAACTTGAAGACCTTTTATAGTGACCTTACATGAGGCATCTGTGAGAGCAGCAGTGACACACAATGCATTTCATAGTCTTTGAGAGTCGTTCCTACTTTAATGCAAAACTGCTGTTTTTAGTGTCTTCAAAAGCCTGACTTCACAATATTTCTGCTTTCTTATTTCGTATACATAGGAAAATTTAAAAGGCTGCTGGAGCTTTGCATTCTAATGTTAAATATGCAACTCAAAGCTTTATCTAAACTACTGGACACGTGTTAATACTGTTTTTGTAGAAAACAAATTGCCAGTGGTTTGTTTTACAGGCTTATTAAATGTTTTGGCAAACGTTCTCTAAATTATCTTTTTCTATAATGTTTTGCAGGCACCTGAATGGACAGAAGAGGACCTCAGCCAGCTGACAAGAAGTATGGTTAAGTTCCCAGGAGGGACCCCAGGTCGATGGGAAAAGATTGCCCACGAATTGGGTCGATCGGTGACAGATGTGAGTTCACTCAGATTTGCATTGTATGGAGAGTGACAAACCAGAACAAGCCAACTATGTAGAAGACAGACATAGATGCATCCGACATTCTCTTTGGAGAAAGGCTACAATCCTTTTAGGACCTGGAAGTGAACCATTAACGAAATAAGCAAGAAGCAGATGTCAGCCAGTCCCCTGGTCCACAATTAACAGCTGTGTGAGGAATTCTAGTGTTTAGAGACTTAAGCTACAGTAACCTAACCACAGAAAACAATGCTGGTTTTTGTGTTTAAAGTGACCCCTTTAGCTGTGGAAAAGATAGTTCTCAGACTGATCAGAATTAGAGAAGTTAAATTTCAGCTGGATCTTTTTAACATTGAAGAACAGATTGCTATAGGTATTTAATCAGGTGGTTTGCATTAATTTAATCATCAATATTCTTATGTTTGCCTTTTTATTTCAAGGATGGTACCTACTATCCATTTTGACAAGTTGCTTAACCACAACAAAATTATATATATGAACAAATATATAATATAATATATATAACATATAATATGCATATGTGTGTGAATGAATCTATAGGTGAATGACTGCCTATACCCAACATTTAAAAGACTAAGTATTTGCCTGGAAGGTTTGAATTTAACACTTTGGATGCTTTTTATTCAGTAAACTTAGGGCAGAGAATCTTCTAAAAGCAACTACCACAGTCCCTGACATGTACTAAATAGAAATTCAGAAAAATTTTTATTTTTACCAATATGAGCCTTATTTTCATAAATGACAGTAAATATTCTTTACCATATAAATCAGTAATTTATCAAGTTTACTTTAAATAAACCCTATACACCTAAAATATTTCAGGGGTTACTGAAAGCAAAGTTCAAGTGCCCTTTTCAATTCTGTTAGTATACCTTTGAGTCTTTTGATAGTGAACAGTTTTAAAACCCTGCAAAATGATTAACACAACTACCCCCCCCCAAAAAAAAACCCAGCTTGTTACATAAATGCTGAAAGTTATTTTTCATAGTGAGCTTCCACTATTTAATTTATAAACAAACTTACAAAACATTACCGTCAATCTTTTTATTTATTTATTTATTTATTACCCTTTGGATAGGAGCTGCTTTGAGAATTTTAAATTATAGATATGAATTTTTTACTACCATGTAGGTCTTTTAAAAATCACATTTAAAAGACTGAATTTTTATGTGATGTTTTGCATTATTTTGGTTTCAAAGTCTCATCATGTGAAAAAATAGCTCTAGTATCTTGTAACAATTTTTTTTTTTTCTTGGTGTTACATGAGGAGACCCATTATCTTAGGTAACTGGAGAAGAACCTTAAGGATACCTTTTCTTCTGCTAAGAATGCTAGTGGGCTATGCATTTTATTACCTTGTTTCTAGGTTGCTTGTAAAAGATAAATTAATAATGCCTTATCAGTAAATATCTGACCAAATTAAAGATATTCCATAGTTATTGGGGTTTCAAATACTATGACCCTGTAATTATACAACTACTGTTAATATAATGATTAATAAAAATTACTGAAATAATTTTTAGAAAGTTATAAAACAAACTGGTTTAAAAGGGCCCTAAACTTTTAGTTTTAATGGGAAAGAATGTTTCATTAATTTAGTGTCTCCTTTGAAGGCAGCACTGCCTTTAAATAAGATTTCTGGGAGACCTCATAGTTAAAAATGCCCAAGAAAGGCAATTGAATAGAGCGATATTTTAAGTTGTTGTCATTAAAATCTGGCTAAATTTGTATATGTGTTTTTAAAAAGAGAGATGAAGGTTTAAATGCTAAGAACAGACATGATGTAACCAACACAGCCTTGAGAATGGCTAATTAGTATCAGAAATCTAGAAAATCTATACATAACCTAGTAGTCTTAGTGCAGTGTTAGTATAGGCAAAGACATCTTTTCGAACTTTTGTAAATTCATCCCATATGTTTCCATTGTTTTTCTTCTAGACTTACCCAGGGGAGACTGAATCCATGTCTGCAATAGATATTTTTCCTTTTACCATAGAAGTAGCAAACATGACTTTTGGGAATTTTTTTTCCCTCCAAGTATTCTATTTGCATAATACCAAAAGTACCTTGAAAATAAATATTTTAGTAAACCCAAACTTTTTTGGCACCAAAAAATGCCCTTGTAACCAACTTTTCTTCTAGTACAGCATGTACATTTTTTTTCATTCTGTGAGTATTTTCATTCTGTGTCATTTTCATAGCTGGACTACACATTTCACATCATAACCGCCCCGCTTCAACACACACAAATCTCTCTCTAAAAGAGAGCAGGTGTCAGAAGACAGATAACTCATTTTAGTGAACACACAGTGAATTACATTGAAGCAGCTAAAGCAGGTTGAGCTAATACAGTTCCTTCAGTACAATGTCAAGTGAAAGTTGACCATACTTGAGAAGATCACTTATAGTTCTTTTTGGCTTATGGCGTTAATTAGATTTGTTTTCATTAAGTATTTAATTATGGGGACAACCCCAAGTTCAATTTGCTGTCATCAGAACCTCTTCTTACTGACCTAGTCACCTGTGCCAACTCTCCCTGGTCTGCACATCTGTTCCTTGACCCGTTTTTATTTTTTTGTTTTGCTAACTTTGTAGCTTCGGGTTTAGTTCTCTTTCCTTCAAGAGACAATTGACCTTTTTTCAGGGAGGGGCAAGAGTGTACTCTTGGTGGGATCTATATATTCTTTATTGGGATTGACAGATTACAATGAAAAACCCATTTGATTCTTCAATTTAAAAAGGAGTTTTCAGTGTATTAATTGTCACAGTCAACAAGTTGCTAAATTCTACTCTGGATAAACACAAGCAATGTGATTGCCTTTGTAAAAAATTAATGCAAAGTGTATTTTAACTCAGATATATCAAAAGTATAAGACTTCCTTTATTACAGATTAAGTAATTTAAACGTGAATGTATGCCTTTCAGCAGATAATTTTGATAATGACAGAGGATACTCAAATTGTAAAAACAACAAAGAAAACAAAAACTGGCACGTAAAACCAACCTTAATGTGATTATTAACTGCAGGCTTTCTAAATTAAGGTCAGGGAGCCTCAGATTTCTTGCTTGTGAAGTAATATCATTCTCTTGCCTGAAAGGATGTAAACTGATTCTGCCTCTCTGTGGCCACTAATCTCTTGCATTCTGGTTGTGATAACAGACTGATTGGAGATTTTCTGCCTGCTTGGAAAAGACCCAGGTAGGCAGCCAAACAAAAAACAGGTGAATAGATTTAGACAGACTTTTATAATTAGCTTAGTGCCACAGTGAGAGGTAAGAGGTGTGTAGTTAGATAAGCATCCCCATGTGCACGTGAAAAAAAAAGAGGAGGGAAAAATCATAAAATTCCCAAGTGTGTTTATATAGCTACAGCTAGAGAGGGGATACTCTTGGGATTTGTATGTAATGGCAGTTGTTCTAAAAATATGTAAGTGGAATTTTATTCAATAGAAAATAAACTTTACAGTTTATCAGTGAATTAAATATATACTACATAGTAATTACGTATTTAATATATATAGTAATTATTTTGGCAAGTATATTACTGCCATTACTTTTCGAGTTAGGCTAGACTTACATGAGTTGTAAAGATCACAAGGACTGCTTCCCTGCCCTCTTCTATCCAAGTACTAACCAGGCCCGACCCTGCCCTCTGAACCAGGCTTCCTGCCCTAGCACACTTCTCTTGGTTTGGGCCTGACCTCATCGTCTGGTCCCTCTCCCCCCTCACCTTCCCAACCTCAAGACCTTTAAAGGCATTTGAATCTTAGAAAGGAATAGGGCCTTTATCCCTTTCTTCTGCTACATGAGTCACTAGCTAACTTAATAACCAATTTTCAAACTAATATTAATAGACGATAATTTAATGTGTTACCAAACACACACACGTATTTTAATAGGAGACTTCAGGTTCTTATCCCAAATATATGAATGATTGGAATAAGAGTTTCAGGCAACTTGATTGCCTGTTTAAAGGAAAGACAAGACAGTAATAGGACCTTTTGGGGTCCCATCAGACAAAATTACGTAATTAGTTGCTTAATCTGTCTACTGACCTGGTTAGACTTTTTCTATAATATGGCTTCTGGGCCAAAGGTGTGTAAATGTGCATTCCACGTCACCATTTCTGTCTCAACATTGAGTAACGTCACACACAGAACAGGATGGCTAAACTATACATTCACTACATGAGCATAACATTGCAAAAATCAGTTAAGAGATCAAACCAACATTTTTAACTGTCTTAACTGATAATATTGGTTATTCCTTCATTCATCTTTATGCTCTTTTATATTTTTAAAACATTTAAACACTCCTTATTTTACTTGACCTTCACAACAGCATGGGGAGAGAGAGAGGCAGCCATTATTCATCTCCATTTTACAGTTGTGTAAACTGCTGCTGAGACCTTTGTTCTAGGTGACACAACTACTAGAGAGTTGAGGCAACACTAGATAGTTTGGTTCTTCATCTCATATGTTCCTGTCACCACTTAATGTTGTTTATTGCTGTGTGTATGAAAAATACTTTATTTTTATTTTAGAGAGCACACGGGCAGGGGAGAGGGGCAGAGGGAGAGAGAGAATCCCAAGCAGGCTCCATGCTGAGTGCAGAGCCTGATGTAGGGCTTGATTTCATGACCCTGGGATCATGACCTGAGCCAAAATCAACAGTCGGATGCTGAACCAATGAGCCACCCGGACGCCCCTGAGGAACACTTTAAATATGTCTGGAGACTTTTACCATTAGACCTTTTTTGGTAAAACTCTATGTTCGTATAAAAAATAAACTTTTAAAAGTACACTTAGGTAGGGACGCCAAGATGGTGGGATCGAGCCCCACGTGGGGCTCTGAGCTGAGAGTGTGGAGCCTGCTTGGGATTCTCACTCTCTCTGCCCCTCCCCCACTCGTGCTCACGCACTCTCAAACTTTAAAAAATAAATATACAGTCAAAAAAAATTTATCTCATCAGCCAT